GTATTTAGTCTGGCCTCCACTTCCCAAAGACAAAGACATCCCCAAGGATTGGGGCAATTTGATATCCTCTATCACAATTCCCGTGGGACTCCCAGAGGCTGCCAGAGCATCTTTCTTTACCTTTCAGAAGCCACTATTCAAAAAGCTGTGCAGGGAACCATGGGATAGGTATCCAATGGGCAGTGCCACCGCAATGGTGCAGAAGAGCACAAATGTGGGACGTGGGCATAGGCAGCAAGTTATATGGGCCAGAGATGCTCAAACACCATGAATATTCAGGGCCCAGAGCTCCGCTCCAGCAATGTTAACTGCAACACAGGCCGAGTGGCTATGATGAATTTGGAAGCTGGGAGCAGCACAGCTTTTGCAGCAGGAAGTTGTATTATAAACAGAGGCAGTGTGATTAGTGTAACAAAAGACTTGTAATTAAAAGTGAACTAAGGATCATTAGATGGTCCCAAAAGCATTGTCAGGTACTTCAGTCAAAAGATAAGAAATAAAAGGTGGGCTAATGGGAGTTTTGCTAGGGAGTTTAGAGGCAGTTTGATGCCGTCTAGATACACTTAAAACTCAACTTTCTTTAAACTTCTTTAAACTAAACCAAAACCACCTGATTTAAAAAAATAAACATCAAGAAATTATGAATTAAATTAAAAGAGAATGCAAGCAGAAGCCCAACAATGGAGTGGGAGCTATCCAGTTTATTGCACCCAATGTAGCATGTATGATTTCTTACCCTATGGGCAGGTGGCATGTGTGTGCATTTGGTGCAAAGAGCTCCTGGCCCTCCAAGAATATACACAGGCTTTGGAGATCAGGGTGGCTAAACTGAAAGAACTAAGGGAGGCAGAGACTTACATAGATTAGACTTTCAGGGACACAGTAGGGCGGTCTCACATCTGGTCAGACAGCCTCTGTGTTGAGGAATGTGAAAGTCTCAGGGAAGGAGAACATCCAAGTGGAGCAGGGGAAAATAATCCCATAGTTCGGACTATCCTTCCAGATGATGTTGTGGTATCCTCTTGTACTACAGATACCTCTTGGGGCGAGGGAACTCCAGTTATTACATAGAGACAGGTGTTAGCAATGAGGGATTCAATCAGAAACAACTGGGCTTGTGATGTCCAGGAAAACCACATGGTGACTTGTCAACCTGACGTGAGGGTTGTGGAGACATATAGACAGACTTATGTGTAGTGCTTTGGAAGAGCCACTGATCATGGTATTTATAGGAACCAATGACATGGGGAAGGATAGGAGAAAGGTCCTGGAGGCCAAATTTAGGCTGATAGGTAAGAGACTGAAATCCAGGATCTCCATGGTAACGTTCTCTGCAATGTTTCCAGTTCCACATGCCGTGCCAGTTAGACAGGCAGAACTGCAGGGTCTCAATGCATGGATGAGAACAATGGTTTAGGACGGAGGAGGTTAGATTTATTAAGAATTGGGGCAATTTTGGAGGAAAGGGGAGCCTATACAGGAAGGATGGCCTCCATGTAAATCAAAATGGAACTATAGAGTTGGCACTTAAAATTAAAAAGGTTCTAGAGCAGTTTTTAAACTAGGAGCTAGGGAAAGTTGACAGGTGTGAAGGAGTACATTGATCAGACAAAGCCATCCCTTAAGGGAGGATCTATTAGTAGAAATTCTCTGTGTCCTAGAAAAGTGGAGAGGGTGGAAGATAATAAGATACAAGTAAGATCCCGCAAACTGAAAAAAAATCATCCTAATTTTATTGAGACAAGTCATTGTTAGTGGGACCTTTAAGAGACTGGAGCCACATTTCTTCTCTTTATGCAGCATGGCAAAAGAGAAGAAAAAACAACCCCCCACCTTCAGAGGGCAATTACAAAACAGAGCCATCATCAGTGATTAATAAAATCTTGGGATACTAATCAAGGCTGCCATGGCAACAGAATGCACTGGGGGGTGGCTTCGTTAACCAACAATGAAAGAGTGCCTTGGCTTTTAAAAATATTTTTTTATAAATAAAATAAATAGGGTTTGCAGCCAAAGAGGCAGAGCAATACATGCTAGGAAGATACTGTGTTTTTATGAGTATTTTTGTGTATGTGTGTGGTTTAGTGTCCTTCCTCAGCTGCCTTTTCTGTGTTTGGAATGACCCCAAAGTTTGTGGCAAAGGAGAAGACTGCTTTCTCTTGTAATCCAGTAACTTTTGAAAATATAAGGGATCCTCTGTCTCTGTCTTCCTCTCTCTGGCAGGATCTCCAAGTGAAAGTGAAAATAAACAGAAGAAAATCAAGGTCATTGTCATGTGCTAATAAAAAGTCTTCCTTTCTTTTTTTAGCAATTGCTGCAATCCCAGCAGATACTAGCTTCAATTAAAAGGCCTATCCCTCCAGTGGGATCAAACAAACAATAGTTTATTCCAGATTCTTTTCAATGAAGTGTTTATTATAGGTTTACCTCCCTTAAACGCTCTGATCCCCACTTTCCAGTAAGATGTGATGAATTCCCCTCTGTGGCTATGCACAGCCCTGGTTCAACGGAGAATCATAATATGATCAGTACAGTGCAAGTGTCACTGTGCTGATTAGATTAATGTTAGCACAGCTGGTAATTTATGAAGCAATAAGTAAATGGTATAAAAACTCCATGACAAGCCATTTGTCACCCAGTTCTATGGAAATTTTATTGCAATGCCATTAGAGGAGTAAACACTTCACTTTAGAATAGAGCCTGTAGCTGAAGACTTTTCTTCCTTCTTATAGTTATCGTTTGAATGTAATAACACTTTTCATGTGAGGGTCTCAAAGAACTTTACAAATACTAACAAATTAAGCCTCAGCCCTGAGAAGTACATACCCCATTTTAAATATTGGCAACTGAGGCACAGATCTGCCCTATGTCAGATAGTGGCTGCACCAAGAACAGAACCTGCGGTGAACCTACTGAAGTCAATGGGAGCTTTATCATTGATTTCAGAGTGGCCAGGTTTTTACTCCATGGGTGTGTCTAGACTACATGCCTCGTCGATGGAGGCATGTAGATTAGACAGATAGGCAAAGGGAAATGAAGCTGCGATTTAAATAATCACGGCTTCATTTAAATTTACATGGCTGCCGCGCTGAGCCGACAAACAGCTGATCAGCTGTTTGTCGGCTCAGCGCGGCAGCCATGTAAATTTAAATGAAGCCGTGATTATTTAAATCGCAGCTTCATTTAAAATGAAGCAGCGATTTAAATAATCGCCGCTTCATTTAAATTTACATGGCTGCCGTGCTGAGCCGACAAACAGCTGATCAGCTGTTTGTCGGATCAGCTGTTTGTCGGCTCAGCGCGGCAGCCATGTAAATTTAAATGAAGCCGTGATTATTTAAATCGCAGCTTCATTTCCCTTTGCCCAATAAACAAATCTACATGGCTCCGTCGACGGAGCCATGTAGTGTAGACATACCCCATGAATCCTAAGTCCAAGTCTCCCTTCTCTAACCATTAGAAACTGTTCCATCTCTGGAAGAAAGCTGAACCACAACCTCCAAAGAAAACAGAGGATTCCACTTTCCTTTTTTTCAGGCAAGGGCTTTGGTGAGAGCAGGGGAGGAGAGAAAAATGTTTAGGTCATAGAAAAGGAAATTACCAGGTGGCAGCTCACTGCCCCCGATAAGTACGCTCATGATCAGGAAGGGGGGCAGCAGGGTTCAAACTTCGATCCATTGAGCCCAGCAGAGTTACACTAAGGAAGAATTTGTCTCTTTTTGTTTAAAGCTATTTTAAAAACAAACAAGTTCTAGGTAGGAAGATGGGACTTTATGTAGCGGGTGGGTTTTTCCTCTCTCTCCACCCTTTGGCATGTATCAGATGCAGCACAAGCATCCAGTGTAAGGTCCTCTGTTGAAGATAATGCTTGTTGAGTTAAGTCAGATCATAGTAGGGCCTTGGAAAACATGACAGTAGGATTCCTGGCACCTTCCCCAAGATCACTGCAACTTATACCCACATTTAATTATGTATTCATTGAAAGACTACAGAGAATGGAAAACTAGGCTAAGGCCCAGCCCTAATCACAGTTTATTTTCATTCTCAGAGAGATAATGCAAGGTTGTCCACAGCTCAGTGTGAAGGGTAACACTTTCCGTACTAAGGGATGGCATGTCCACTGCCTCTCTCAAGCCTTCTCAGTACGCACACCATGACTCTTGCACCACGTTTCTGAAGATTTCTCTGATCGTGGATGCCAGTTTCTCCAAGCTTTGAGTACTAATGTGCATACACAGTGGTAATAGCTCCAGAGCTGCAGGTTCAAAGTGCATTAGCCAGGATTTGTATGTGCTGAGATGGTGCATTCAGATCATCTGTAGCCTTTTCTTTAACACAAACAGATATTTCATGTGTACTGAACACTTAGGCTATGTCTAGACTGCAAGCCTCTTTCGAAAGAGCCTCTTTCGAAAGATACTTTCGAAAGAGCCTCTTTCGAAAGATACTTTCGAAAGAGCCTCTTTCGAAAGATACTTTCGAAAGAGCCTCTTTCGAAAGATACTTTCGAAAGAGCCTCTTTCGAAAGATACTTTCGAAAGAGCCTCTTTCGAAAGATGAAGAAGCCCTATTTACATTGAAGAACGCCTTCTTTCGAAAGAGGAACTTTCGAAAGAAGGCGTTCTTCCTCGTGAAATGAGGTTTACCGCCATCGAAAGAAAAGCTGCGTTCTTTCAATTTAATTTCGAAAGAACGCAGCTTGAGTCTGGACGCAGGTGAGGTTTTTTCGAAAAAAGGCTACTTTTTTTGAAAAAAACCCTGAGTCTGGACACAGCCTTAGTAATTAAGAAATGTGCCTAATCCAGAATCCAAGCACCCTTGAGCTTTGGAGAAATTTGGTTTTGGATCTGAACTCTGTCACTCATGCCTCTCTTTAGTAACAATTCATGCAATTGAAGTCAAGTCACTGCTGGCTCTGGGCATTCATCCCACTCAGGAATAATGGTTAAGCTTGCAAGACATATTGCAAACTATTGATTTTGCCTTTTCTTTTTGTATAGATGAATGATGTTCTGCTGTACACATATCCCCAGAAGGATGGCAAATACCGACTGAAGAACACCTTGGCTGTGTCTGGCATGAGGGTAATGCTTAGAATAGCCTGGCATTGACGTTTATTTGGGGCTTATTGGCTGCCTTGTTAATTCTTTGCCAGTTTATGTCTCTTTTCCAATTGTCTGAAAGGAAAAAGGGTACTTTATCTTATGAGTCCCTTGTCTGCTCAGGAATTAAAGAGGAAAATATACAATGTACAAATAAAAGAGTATCTAAAAGATTGCCAGTTAGCATAACTACCTCATTTGGGCTGGTAATGAATAAAGCAAACCAAGAGTTACTGTCTGATCAAGACTTTTCACCGAAGCTAAGAAAGGAAAAGACATCACATCTAGTCCTTTCCCATTTCCCTGCCCCCAGCCACTGCATGACTGTTCCCTACAATATACTAACTAGGGTATTAGCAAGTCTTGTTTTATAAACCCTTGTGTAACCGCCACCTGGGACGTCAAGCTGACTATAGGAGCCTCTATCCTCTGAGCTAAAAGCCAGCTAGCTCCCTGCCAATGCTGTAGAGGTCTTTTGATCTTAACTGTTGCTGTGGTCTAGGTGCCACTTGCATTGCTCAGTAACCACACAAGGTGTGTGGGTTACAGCACCTCCTAAAAATTCACACACGTCATTCCCTTCTCCAGGAGCTTTTATGTCCATTCCCTTCTGCCTGTGTTGTCATGTTAATTTTATCCCAAAAAGCAATCTAGACTTCCCAAGAAAATCAGGAACAGAGAAATAAAACGGGTACAGAGTAAGAAATATCTGGCAGGCTTTGTTTTACTACATACATTACAGAGGCATGTGCAGACTGCTGGCCTGTCTCCTCAGCACAGAAAGGACTGGCCACATTCCCAAAGTTTTCAAACCCTTTCTTCAGAGTAGTTTTTATACTATACCTGGAACCATCTATACATGGAACACTACCCAAGTTGCAATAATATGGACCAAAAATCCGACCTGGATCATCCCAACTGATCCTGCACCCACTGTCACATTGTGCTGGACCCATTACCTTGTCCACACTAGTCTTTTAGCAACTGAGGACACCATGACTTTGATAGCTAACACTCAAACTGTTGGAGCTCCACAGATACCTGTGTATCAAAAGTTTTACTATATGCTGACTGACCATAGATGGTTTCAATCACTCCATCCTTCATTTACGCATCATTTGTTTCTAGGTCAGCCGCCCAGTGACAGAAAAAGCCCAAAACGTCTTGAAGATTGAATGCGCCGAACACTGCCTCACTCTGTCAGCAAGGTATTCTCTCATACCAGCTATAGCAGAGGATGTTTATTTTGGGTATATCTCTAGACCAGCTCACCCACTCTCCAAGACTTAATTGGTATCCCACTATTTTTAAACTCTATTTCAACCTATGTCATTGTGACAGGTAGTGGTCAAGTGCTTGATTATAAAGAGGGCATTTATTTACATGTAAGGCTCATAAGACACAAATTGAATACTGATGAGTAAAAAGCTGGGCCTCAGCACCTGATAAGATTTTGAGCAGAATAGAAAATCCATGTCTAATAAGTCTGAGCCTTCTTCCTTCATATTTTACAACTTTTTCCCTGTCACACTGAGAACCCAGCTTTGTCTCCCTCCCCTTTATAACTTCACTTGTCAGCACAAGTCACTGGGGTTACCCAAGGGTTAATGAAAAATAGTAATTAGCCAATTCCACACCATAGATTTAAAGGTATTTAAAGGTACTTAAATGACAGTTAAAACAGAAATTAAACTCTATCGATGATGTAATGATGTCTTTTTGTTAAAAGGAATTTTCCTAATGAATTTAGACAAAGTTAGTACTGATCACAATAAGGGAGAGTTTTCTGTCTTCTTGTCACATGCTGACAGCAAAAAGAATTAGTACATCAATTTCTGAGCAGAAGGAAAGAATATTTGTTTTTGTTGGTTTTAATTGCAAAGGTGTCTTACAAATTTGGTGCTAGTGGATCAGGGAGATAGCAAAGAAAAAGGAACAGTATAAGATTTTCAGATACATTATTTAAAATTAAAATGATTCCGCCTCAGTTCAGTTGATCATGCAGATGAGGTGATCCTAGCTTGGAGAACTTAAATTCCCATCTCAAGTCTCCACCTACAATATGTCCGGAAGCACAGTAGGCTTCCACAAATGGCATGCATATTGGAACCAACTGAATAGATTAGAAGGGTGTTTTCCTTTTCCTCACTCATTCAAATCAAAATCCTTCTCTTATAAGGAACATTTGCCACCTGTGCCCAATGCACAGATTAGAATACTATGTTTGATACTTTTATTATCTGTATTGGATGTCCATCCAGTGCCATAAAGAGTCCAAACTGTGGCACTGGATGGGCATCCAATACAGATACTAAAAGAAGCTCATGCAGTATACATTAGGCCACTTGTGGAGCCTCCCAACCTCCTTACGTAGAGAGGCTGCCATATCCTCCCTACCTTCAGCTGGTGCCAACTCCAGCTCTAGCCCTGTGCAAGCTGGTGGTAGCTACCCAGTGGATCTGAGCTACCCACTGTCAGTTAAAAAAGCAGGAGATGTATGGCTCTGTGTGGCCAGGACAGTACATAGCTAGATACCCACTGCCTTAGTTCAGAGAAGTTCTAATGCAAAATACATTTCTGCCTTGATACGTGGTCTTCATTTGCAGCACACTGGAAGCTGTGCCCTGATTCTCCATTGGTCTTGTTACACTATGCAGTTGGTGCTCTTTTAAAGGCTGAGGCAGACTCCAGTGGGAGTTGCATGTGAAATTAGGGCTGGAAGCAGAAAGGCTGCCCTATGGAAATGAGGGGCAGATAGTGCTCTTTCACGGGGATCAGTCACAAATACAAGGAGACTCTCCCTCCTGCTGCTGTTCATTCAAGGGCAAATCATAAGTGAAGTCTTTGTAACACACCCTAGGGCACAAATCACCTCTGGGGGTAGAGAGGAGGCATGGTTATTGCACCATTTTCTCTCAACTCTAGCTGGCCAAGCTGCCCAGTCACACATGGGAGAACATGCTACACTCTCCTGAATGAAGGCACTGTGGGTGGACTCTGCTGGGCACCAGGGAATACCAGCAGGCTTTGGATCTCCCTGAGGCAACATGTTTTCCATTGCTTCCAGGTTGATTGATACAAGCCTCTGACAAGGGTCAGTTATGAACTGCCACAGTCTTAAGGCCTTTGCATTTACATAAGGCAAGAAGTACACATAAAGGAGCTGAGGACATGACATAAGCAGCAAATACGAAGAGAACAGAAAAGGCACTAAACTGATAAGCAGAACTTCTGGTTCTGGTTCACACGGCACAGCTGTATGAAAAGAGGGTAGTGTCAAGCACTAGCATCTACTACTGAAAATGTCCTACCTAGAGAGCCTAATTATTTAGCTTGCAGGGAGCAGGTGATGGTACTAAGTCACTCTTGTAGAAAAGAGTAGGATGCTGCCATACCTTTACATACATTTCAGATTTCTCTTCTTCAGACACAATTGTAAGCAGGTGGTACCGATATAAAACCTAACTATGGATATGTCTATGCTGCAACGGGGTTGGGAAGGGAGTGACTACAGCACATGTGGACATATTCATGCTATCTTTAATTTAGCTAGCTCACATACTGATGGCAATGAAACAGCTGTACAAGCCTCCCCACTCCCCCCCCCCCCCAAACCCTGGTATTCATTCAGGTAGCTAGCCTGTGCAGCCACAGTTTCACTACTATTGGTCCTCATGCATGCGACCATCACACTTCCAATTGCAGTGCAGACATGGGCTTAGAAAGCCAAGGGAGAATGCAGTCAGTCAATCAGTATGAAGGTACAGAAAGACTGCCATGGCATTACAATCAGTAAGAGAGTCCTAATCCAGGCCAAATCAAGTTTTTATAGTTACTTATCCATAGGCTAATGTATAGAAAACAAAACTGAATACTAAATCCATAATTATAAAATAAAAAAACACACGTAAATAAGGATTTTAAAATAAGTAAATCAATAACCACATCAAATCACAATGCTTTTTTCCCCCTTATTTTAGCAGCTGACCATGCAAATAGGCCAATCTCTTGGATCACAGGTACTTTGCCTGTTCCTAATAAATACTGTTTTCTGAGAGATCATAGAAAAAGGCAGCCAGAATAAAAACATAGAAAGCCCTTTTGACCACCAGTGGCAATACGAATTATAGCATAACAGAGAGTGGGGAAGGTCATCCAGCTGCCCTTAGTCACATGGACAAAGGTGGTCGCTTTTTGGATACCAGTATATCAACCTTCTAGAAAAGCTATCTGCAAGGCTTGAAACAGGAAGGCCCTCCTTAACATATTACACAAAATATCTAAATATTTAGCATACTTTTTTAAACAAGGAGAACCAAGGTGACATATTTAACATAGAAACTACTGCCACATCCACCTGCTTGTTAAAATCCTCTAGTTGCAACTTAATTACAGATTGATTTAAAATTTATATCAAATCATTTCCAAATCTGACAAACCTAAAAAATGCAAACAATATTGAATATTCTCTAACCAAGGAAATTACATGAGAAAGTCCTCCTGAGCTGTTTTTCTAAGCATAACCTTGACAAACACTGGGGTTGCATGTTAAGAATGTGAAGTCAAAAGCTGCCATTGCCATGTTGTACTTTGGTCAGATTAGAATTCATGCCTGTCCTGCTCTGAGAAAAGCAGGGTGGAGTGGTATTTGACAGACCAAGAATCTTCATGAGAAATTAGTTTTGAATCACTTCCAATCCCTAAAGATTATTCCATCCCCATATTTCTGTACCAAACAAAATTTGAGCACGTACCTTGTCTATTTCAGGTCAGTTTCTCTTGCTGCACAGATGTCCCCTGCTGTCAGTGACAGCGTAGTGACAATCCAACTTTCTGTTTTGTTAGACTAAACTTACTGTAAAAGTAAATGATGTGTCATCTTGGTGACTGACAGCTTATAACAAAGTAGTCCCCAGAAATCATTCTCAATGCCAAGTGTGGCAATACTGGAGTTTGAGAGTTGTGCACTTTGAGCTGTTCACAGCCTCCAAAACTTCAGCAAAAATCCCTTTGATCCTTCATACAACCAATGAGTGAGTTAACTGGGATCAGGTCAGTGCCAATTGACATTATTCATTTTATAAGCCAGTAGCCATGTGTTATCCTCACACTTAGACATTATAACAGTTTGTGATTATTGCCTAGAGATGTTTAATGGAGGGAACAGGTGAAAAGGGTCTGTTTGCAGATTAAGCTTTTATTGACAGATCATCCCTGATCAGCTGTCCTTACCAAAATGACTTTGATTCACACCATTAAATCAGCCATGCTTTCATATTTGTAAAGCCACATCTTGAACCTCAAGTGATTAGAATTTTCTGGCAAATAAAAGGTTGACAGAACTGAGGAAAAGAATTCATCCACACTTTTTGATGGAAAATGCAGATTCAGCAAAACAAAATGTTTATTAAATTTGTGTCAGTTTCAAATTGTTTAAAAAATTGAAATGTTTTGATTTTTTGAGCTTTGAAATGACTTTTTGTTTTTAGATGTCTTTTAATTTTGTTTTAATGTAAATACTTAACTAATTGGTCAAATTGAAAAAATGTTTTAATGATGAAATAAAACAATTTGTTTGACCCAACACAAATGTTTTAGCAACATTTCAAAATTGCCCAGGAAACAACAAATCCATTATTTACCCAGTTCTGGAGGTTAAACCTATGTTGGTGCCACTTAGACTAACCCTTTGGAGACTAGGGATGTAACTATAGCCTGGTGAGTAGTGATTTGTCTAGTATAATGATTCTCAACTTTTTGCTTGTACCCCCCTTCTTTTTGTCTATAGTTGTTTATGTCCCTTCTCTCACAAACCCCCCAACACACACACACACCCAGCTCTGAAGGCAGACTGGAGGCCAAAATAAAAGTGGCAATGTCAATATAATTTTTCACAGCAGACTCAGCACGCCGTTGCCACGGTTACTTCTGTGCTGCTGCTGCCACCTCAGGGCTGACAGCTGAAACTGCCACCACTTCCAGGTAAGAGACTGGGGCTATGTCTATACTGCAGGGCTGCGTCTAGACTGGAATGATTTTGCGCAAATACTTTTAACAGAAAAGTTTTTCCGTTAAAAGTATATGCGCAAGAGCACGTCTATACTGGCATGTGCCTTTGTGCAAAAGATTTGCTTTTGTGCAAAAGCATCTGTGCCAGTGTAGACGCTCTCTTGCGCAAGAAAGCTCGGATGGCCATTTTAGCCATTGGGCTTTCTTGCACAAGAAATTAACTTGTCTGTCTACACTGGCCCTCTTGTGCAAGAATACTTGCACAAGAGGGCTTATCCCTGAGCGGGAGCATCCGAGTATTTGCGCAAGAACCATTGATTTTATACAGTACAAAGTCAGTGTTCTTGCGCAAATACTTGAGGCCAGTTTAGACGGGCGGCAAGATTTTGCGCAAAAGCAACTGCTTTTGCGCAAAATCTTGCCAGTCTAGACGCAGCCCAGAGTTTTTTTGCAAAAACTCGCAGAGCGTCCACACTACCAGCGCATTTTTGCACAAGAAATGTATGGTAGATCGTCAGAAGACAGGGCTTTTTGCACAAGAGTTATTCCTCTTTCTACGAATAAGCCTTTTTGTGCAAAAGCTCTTGTGCAAAAAGGCATGTGTGGACAGACCACAAGGGTTTCTTGCACAAGAAATCCCTATCGGAAAAACCACAGGTGCTCTTGTGGCCATTCTGTAAATGGCAATCAGAGCTTTCTTGTGCAAGAGCGTCCATGACAGTGTGGACACTCTCTTGCACAAAAACACATGGCAGTGTGGACGTGCTCTTGCACAAGAACTTTTTGCAGAAGATCTCTTCTGCAAAAAGTTATTGCACAAGAAGCCTGCACTGTAGATGTAGCCTGAGAGAGAAAGAAGGAAGGAGAAGTCCAAGCCCAGCTGCCTCCCAGTGAAGGACTGTAAAGAGGGGAAGAGAGCCAAGCTCAAGTGACAGAGCTCTGGCTGTCCTCTCTTATCCTCTTCCCCCACCTTCTCTCTGCAAGCCCTTTTCCCTGAGTCCCAGCTGCTAGGAGCTGACAGCCGGAGGTTCATAAAAAATTACGCACAGAGTTCATGCTTCCCTGGACACATTCCTGTGCTTCCATAGTTTGAGAACCGCTGAGCCAGTAAGGCTGGGAAATATCGACATTTTAGGCTTAATATGCTTTCCATTCAACCCAGTCATATTTTCCATAAAACAACACTGGAAGTGGAATCTTGGGGGGAAGGAGCAAAGTTAGCAAAGTATTGAACAGTCCTGTACATCTTGACAATGAGGTGATGTACAGTATTGCAGTTCTTTGTCATGCAGCACTAATTCAGAACTGCAGGGACAGTGTCCATAAGCTATGTTTGCCAGAAATTGGGAATAGGTGACGGCAGATGGATCATTTGGTGATTACCAGTGCTGTTCATTCCTTCTGGGGCACCTGGCATTGGCCACTGTTGGACAACAGGATACTGGGCTGGATGTATCTTTAGTCTGAACCAGTACAGCTAGCTGTTCTTATGTTTTTACCAGTATGTATTATACCCTTGTCCTGGACCCTCTTTTTCCAATAGAATTGTTAAGTTTTACAGAGGCTGTTGTTTTTCACAGATGAGTGCTCTCTGGCTTTGTCTACACTGCCAGCTTTTGCCAGCAGGGAGTATGCAAATAAAGTGCTGATTAGCAGTTTGTCATGCTTAATTTGCATAATCTGAGAAATTTTTGCGCAAGGGGGTTTTGTGCAAAAACGAAAAGCGTGGACGTTTCCTTTTTGTGCAAAAACCCTTTTTTGTGCAAGATCTTTATCCCTCTCCGGGAGAGGGATAAGGATCTTGCACAAAAATGGGTTTTTGTGCTAAAAGGAAATGTCCACACTGCTTGTTTTTGCGCAAAAACGGCTCAAATAGATTATGCAAATGAAGTGTGACAGAATGCTAATCAGTGCTTAATTTGCATACTCTCTGCTGGCAAAAGCTGGCAATATAGACATAGCCATAGGCTATGTCTACACTGGCACATTCTCATGCAAAAACTCTTTTGCGGAAGAGTTCTTATGCAAAAACTCTTCCAGAAGAGGGCGTCTACACTGGCATGTACTTTTCTGCAAGAGATGTGCTTTTGTGCAAGAGCATCCATGCCAGTGTAGACGCTCTATTGTGCAAGAAAGCTCTGATGGCCATTTTAACCATAAGGCTTTCTTGTGCAAGAAATTCATGTTGCCTGTCTACACTGGCTTCTTGTGCAAGAACTGCTGCACAAAAGAGCTTATTCCTGAGCAGGAGTGTCAGAATTCTGGTGCAAGAAGCCCTGATTTCATACATTAGAATGTCAGTTTACTTGCACAAGAACACGCAGCCAGTGTAGACAGGCAGAAAGCTTTTGCACAAGAGCAGCCACTTTTGCGCAAGATCGCGCCAGTGTAGACACAGCCACAGTGTATAGAGATGCTAAGCCAGGGGTCATGGATTAACTCATGTGCTTCCCTGTTTGTCTGGGTTTCTTTAAGGTTACAACAGATAAATTGTTCTCAGTTGTCTTGTGTGTTGGCCTCCCTGTGCACAGAGGATATCACAATTCAGCAGCAGTGGGCATTGATTCCAGTACTGATTTTATACAGGGAGCCCTCATGGGAAGAGTGCTTAGCTTTAATGTGAATGCCTGGTATAGCTTGTGGAGGACAGAATACTCTGTCCCAAGCTCACACCTAAGTAACCAGAATATGGCACCGTTTACAATCGAGAATAAGAGTACAGCATTCCCTTCCCTGAACCAGCATGGAAATGTTGGCCTCCCGGATGGCTTTTGAAAATTAATTTGGTGCTTACCAATTTTCAGGGAGGTGTTCTCACACATAGCTGCTACATAGCTGTCACAGTGGTATTCTTCCCTGCGCCCACTGGTATACTGGTTCACCTCAGTCAAGTGGCTCTTCCTATCTCAGCCTGAGACTGAACAATTTTGAGTCCCTGTGGGGAAACTAACTGACTAATAGGGCGATCAGGAAAAATGTTGATTTTATGAATACAAGATCACACACATTAAGCACTCCGTTTTATTTCTGGACTCTCAGAATCTCAGATCAGAACTTGGGAGATTGACAGGAAAGCTGGAGTGGCGGATAAATGCAATACGAGCAGGTTTTCATGGTGTAAGGGTGACATCTAGTGGCCATCTTAAAGAATCACAAGCTTGCATTTGCTAGTGTCTCCAGTCCAGGGAAATGCAAATTTTCCCTTAAAAATGTCACATTAGCATCTTTCCAAGATCTTGAGAGCTGTGTTTAATTTGTCTGTAATGGAGTAAACTGAAACCAGTCTCATTTTCAATATGAGAGGCATCCTACCAAGAATCTATGTCCCAGCATGAAATCCTCCCAATTTACCTATGTAGCCAACACAGAAGTGACAAGCATCAACATGCAATACTTCACATAGGGTACGTCTACACTTGCACCTTAGTTCGAACTAGGGATGCAAATGTAGGCGACTGAAATTGCTAATGAAGCGGGGATTTAAACAGCATGCGCTTCATTAGCATGATCTCACTGGTGTGTTACTCCGCTCAACAGCTGTTTCGAAAGTGAAAATGCACATCAGAACGTGTTAGTTTGAACCAAAGCCCTTGGTTCAAACTAACGTTACAAAAAATGAAGAGTAACATTAGTTTGAACCAAGGGGTTTGGTTCGAACTAACACATCCCGGTGCACACTTTCACTTTCAAAACAGCTGTTGAGCGGAGTAACACACCAGTGAGATCATGCTAATGAAGCGCATGCTGTTTAAATCCCCGCTTCATTAGCAATTTCAGTCGCCTACATTTGCATCCCTAGTTCGAACTAGGGTGCAAGCGTAGATGTACCCTTAGATATGAGCAACCCAGGCAGAGGGTAGGTGCACTGGAGTGCAGTTCCCTTGCTTGCCTGGGCTACGTCTAGACTGCAGTTTTAAATCGGAAAAAGATACGCAATTTGCGGTATGTAAATTGCGTATCTTTTTCGAATTTACTTCAAAAGAGGCTTTTCCAAAATTTGGCACATCTAAACATTGCCAAATTTTGGAAAAAAGTGCTCTTTTGACACCGTCCTTATGCCTCGTAGAACAAGGTTTACAGGGATGGCGAAAGCGCACGTCTGCTTTTTTGAAAAAATTATCGGAAAAGTGGATGCATTTCTTGGATGTGTCATTGTTTTTCTGGGATACCTCTGGTATCCCGGAAAAGTAATGCAGTCTAGACGTAGCCTTAGTGACCAGTGCAGAGACAAAACTAGTACTGTGGCCTAGGTTGTAATCTCCATCCTTAAGCCACACTGGAAAATCCATAGGCCATAAATGGCCAGACTGCATCAATCTAATCAGAAATATTAGAAATCTAACATTTAATTTTGTTCTTGGCCAAGAATTGATAATTCATCATGCTGGTGAAAGAAATAAAATGTCAGTAGATAGGAGCTTTCTCTCTTGATCCAGAAGCATCTTGAATCAGTCATTGCAGAGTTCATGGCATTGATTGTATTGCTGTATTTCATTCTACAGTTCATGCTTTGAAAGGGATGAGTGGTATAGTTGCATCAGCAGAACCATTCCAGATGACTACAAAGTTCACAATGCAGCTGCCTTTCATAACAGCGTTGAGGTAAGAGTGAGTCCTGGTATTGCGTAAGAGGATAAAAAAATCTGAATAGTTTTTTTTAAAAAGGAAAAGCAGAATGGCCCCAGTGGCAGAGTGTTCTAATTATTTATATATAAATCATCATGCCAGGGCCAAATGACACAGGTTACCACAGCACTTATATGTTTAATATTCAGACTGCTGAGGCTGCTACTGGTATTTTGAACATGTTGCAATTCTGCTTCGTACTACAGGTTTCATTTAAGTCAATAGGAGTTTTGTTGGAGAAACACTAACCAGATTTAGCCCTGCATGGGCTACTGTCCTAAATGCTTTCAAAAACAAGTATATGCCTTGCAGATGACTGTAAGAAGGCAAAACTAGCCATTAGTATTGCTTTTGTCACAATCTATAACAAAGGATCAATAATTCACCATCACTAAAGCCCTCAGCAAAAGGACTTCATTGAGACCTAACAAACAGTTTATACCGATCCAACTCCATTGAGTTATTCCTAGTTTATACCAGTGTGAGAGGAGAATCTGACGCAAAAGAGTTTTGCTGTTGCTGAATTCTCTGTTCCTTCGTCCTGCATGAGTCTAACTCTCTTTATAGCAAAACTACCAAGATATAGTAATAGACTTGTGCAAAGATGGGCAAACAGCAAAGGAGTTTATGAGTGCCGAACGGTGATAGAAAATGAGGGCCAGATTTGGATCCCATTAATCCAGAGTGACTCCATTGTCTTCCATTGAGATCTGGGTCCAAATCAGTCTGAGTTATAAGTGAAAAAAGTTTGGTGACTTCTAGACAGTCCTTTCCATTGATCACAAAACCATTCCAAAAGATGCACAATAGTCAACTAGGCCTTCATTCTGAGATTGATACACTGAATGCTATGCGGCTTATGGTGGGGATAAGGATTTTTTGATTGAGACCTAAAAACCATGTGTTCTTTCTGGATATTAAAGATATTACAGGATATTAAATCTTGTACTAAAAATATAAGTTTGCCCAGGCAATCTCAGCCAGAATTATTCACTGATGCTAGATGCTCACCAAGTGTAGGTCCATTGACTTCACTGGATCTGAACCAATTTGCACTAGCTGCAGATAGAGGCCCTACTGTTATATCACATGCTGTGTACTAGTTGACTACCACCATCTACTCCAGAAGTGGCTGCATTTCAGCACTTGCGTGTAAAGTTTGTGGAACACTTTGGGGCCCTTCAGGAAGGAAGAAGAATTAGGACTGGAATAATGGGGATTGTGTGTCAAGAAGGAGGTGGATTGGCAGAACTGAGGGTGGGGAAAGGTAAACACGATTTAGCAGCTCATGCTCATGTGGGAGTTGCATTAGCTGAAGTGAGTGTGCTTTGGAAATCTGGCTATTTCTTCACTTCTTTTTAAGCTAAGGGAAAGGCTGGGAATATCCTTGGGTGAGAGGCCTCCAACCTTGGTACCTGTGTCCCACGTCATGATGTGCATGAACTGCGGCTGTGATTTTACCCTCACTCTGAGACGCCATCATTGCCATGCATGTGGAAAGGTCAGTGTCACATAAATTCAGCTTCAAACTAGTCAACAGCAGGCAAAGCCTCTGGGACAAATCCTCCTTTTCACTACACTAGCAGTGGCGGAGGGACATTTTTAAATGTAGGGGTGCTGAGCCCCCTTGCCTCTGTCCACCCTCACCCAGCTAAGGTCAGGAGCAAAGCCCTGTCATGTGAGGTCAGCAGCCAGGATCCCAGCATATGGGGCAGCAGCAGAGACCCCAGTGCATGGAACCAGCAGCAGAGGACCTTGGCATGGTGGGCTCCAACCAGAATCCCAGCATGCAGGGCTAGCAGCCAACCACTGGGGCACAGGGCTTGAACCTGGACCCCAGCACTCAGTATATTAGTGAAATCCTGGCATACGGGATGCCAGAAGAACCCCGGGGTTCACACAATGGGGAAGCCTTAAAATTAGTCTGCGGCACGCTCCGTTAATGTGGATGAGCTACCTCGGATGTAGAGTGCCAGGAAGCACTGGGGGGGTAATTAGTTTTAATTACTCTGGGGAGTAATTATTTTGAAATAACAGATTCTACCACCTCGCTAGGTAGCCTATTCCAGTGCTTCATCACTCTCCTAGTGAAATAGTTTTCCCTACTATCCAACCTAGACCTCCCCCACTGCAACCTCAGACCATTGCTCCTTCTTCTGCCATCTGTCACTACTGAGAACAGCCTCTCTCCATCCGCTTTGGAACCTCCCTTCAGGTAGTTGAAGGCTGCTATCAAATACCCCCTCACTCTTTTTTCTTCTGAAGACTAAACAAGCCCAAACTCCTCAGCCTCTCCTTGTAGGTCATGTGCTCCAGCCCCCTAATCATTTTCGTTGCCCTCCACTGAACTCTCTCCAATGTGTCCACATCCTTTCTATAGTGGGGAGCCCAGAATTGGACATAATACTACAGATGTGGCCTCACCAATGCCAAACAAAGGGGAATAATCACTTCTCTAGATCTGCTGGAAATGCTTTCTAATGCACCCTAATATGCCATTAGCCTTCTTGGTTACAAGATCACACTTGTTGACTCATATCCAGCTTCTCATCCAATGTAATCCTCCTTTTCTGCCAAACTGCTGCTTAGCCAGTTGGTCCCCAGCCTGTAGTAGTCCTTGGGATTCTTCCGTCCCAAGTGCAGGACTCTGCACTTGTCCTTGTTAAACCTCATCAGATTTCTTTTCATCCAATCCTCCAATTTGTCTAGGTCACTCTGGATCCTATCCCTACCCTCCAACGTATCTACCTCTTCTCCCAAGTTTAGTGTCATCTGCAAACTTGCTGAGGGTGCAATCCATCTCCTCATCCAGGTCATTAATAAAGATGTTGAAAAAAACTGGCCCTAGAACCTATCCTTGGGGTACTCTGCTTGAAATACACTGCCAACCAGACATTGAGCCATTAATCACTACCCATTAAACCCAACAGTCTAACCAGCTCTCTATCCACCTGACAGTCCATTTATCCAATACATACTTCCTGAACTTGCTGGCACGAATTATATGGTAGACCATATCAAAAGCTTTGCTCAAGTCAAGTTATATCACATCCACTGACTTCCCCATGTCTACAGTTACCTCGTCAAAGAAGGCAATCAGGTTGGTCAGGTATGACTTGCCCTTCGTGAATCCATGTTGACTATTCCTGATCACTTTCCTCTCTTCCAAGTGCTTCAAAATGGATTCCTTGAGGATCCTCTCCATGATTTTTCTGGGGACTGAGGTCTGTAGTTCCCTGGATTGTCCTTTTTCCCTTTTTTAAAGATGGGCACTTCAATTGCCTTTTTCTAATCATCTGGGACGTCCCCCAATCTGCATGAGTTTTCAAAAATAATGGCCAATGGCTCTGCAGTGACATCTGCCAACACCCTCAGCACCCTTAAATGCATTAAATCTGGCCCCATGGACTTGTGTATGTCTGACTTTTCTAAATAGTTCTTAACTTGTTCTTTCTCCACTGTGGGCTGCCCCCTTCTTTCCATACTTTGTTGCCTAGTGCAGTAGTCTGGTAGCTGACTTTGTCTGTGAAGACAGAGGCAAAAAAAAGCATTGATTACTTCATCTTAACCCACATCATCTGTCACTAGGTTACCTCCCTTATCCAGTAAGGGTCCCATGCCTGTAGAAACCTTTCTTGTTACCCTTCACATCTCTTCCTAGCTGCAATTCCAATTGCTCTTTGGCCTTCCTGATTACCCCCCTGTATGCTCGAGCAATATATCTATACTCTTCTCTAGTCATCTGTCCAAGTTTCCATTTCTTGTAAGTTTCCTTTTTGTATTTAAGCTTGCCAAGAATTTCACTAAGCCAAGCCAAGCTGGTCGCCTACCATATTTGTTTTTCTTACTGTGCATCGCAATGATTTGTTCCTGTGCCTTCAATAAGGCTTCTTTAAAATACTGCCAGCTCTCCTGGACTCCTTTCCTCTTCAAGTTTGCATCCCAGGGGATCCTGCCCAGGGAATCAGTTCACTGAGGGAGTCAGAGTTTGCTTTTTCTTAAGCCCAGGGAATGTATTTGCTTTTTTCCTTTCTTCCTTTCATCAGGATCCTGAAATTGATCATCTTATGGTCGCTGCTTCCCAGGTTCCACCCATATCTACTTCCCCTACTAATTCCTCCCTGTTTGTGAGCAGCAGGTAAAGCTGCGCATAGCCCTTCTTGGTACCTTCAGCATTTATATATACCTCCAGTCCTGTTTTGAATCCAGTTCAGCTCTTCACCTCAGTGATGGTTTCTGATATTGAACTTCACAGGCTACTTACGTTTCATGTGAAAAGAAAACATTTCTTTTGATCAATTTTAAATTTGCTGCCTTTCAATTTTAGTTAATGTTAAGAATATAAGAACATAAGAATGGCCGTACTGGGTCAGATCAAAGGTCCATCCAGCCCAGTACCCTGTCTGCCGACAGTGGTCAATACCAGGTGCCCCAGAGGGAGTGAATCAAACAGGTAATGATCAAGCGATCTCTCTCCTGCCATCCATCTCCACCCTCTGACAAACAGAGGCTAGGGATACCATTCCTTACCCATCCTGGCTAATAGCCATTTATGGACTTAACCTCCATGAATTTATCTAGTTCTCTTTTAAACCCTGTTATAGTCCTAGCCTTCACAGCCTCCTCAGGCAAGGAGTTCCACAGATTGACTATGCACTGTGTGAAGAAGAACTTCCTTTTATTTGTTTTAAACCTGCTGCCCATTAGTTTCATTTGGTGGCCCCTAGTTCTTATATTATGGGAACAAGTAAATAACTTTTTCTTATTCACTTTCTCCACACCACTCATGATTTTATATACCTCTATCATATCCCCCCTTTGTTTCCTCTTTTCCAAGCTGAAAAGTCCAAGTCTCTTTAATCTCTCCTCATATGGGACCTGTTTGAAACCCCTAATCATTTTAGTTCCTAATCAATGTTCCACTATGATAGTTGTAATCTGGATTTTAATTTTAAATTCCTTGCCCACTAAAAGATGAATCCTAGTTCAATGATATTTCAGTTTCACAAACAAAACCCTTCCCTGCCTTAGCCAGCAGAATGACATGCCAATTCCCTTCTGAAAATACCTTTAATAAGCATTATCAACCCGTTTAGTGGTGCCATGGCCAGCATGAATTTTGATTTAAGGGAATGTATAACGCTCAGAGAGATGACCATAAGAATACGGTACAATTATCAGTAATTTTATATTATTGTTGCAGCTAAGACACTCAATCAAGAACTAGGCCCCCACTGTTCTAGGCACTGTGTAAA